GCTCCCCAGCCCCTCCCGGCTGGGCGCGGGGCCGGCGTCTTCGCGGACCAGCTGCTGCTGCTCTTTGACCAGCTGAGACCTCTTCTTGGCCTGGCTGGAGGTCTGCAATGACAGTGAGCGGCAGCTGACCGGGAGGACTCAAGCCTGGCCCTAGTCACTGCTGCTTCTGCCCACTGGACCTTCTGCTCCTGGATTGAGTCCAGCCCTGTGCCTACACAGACATCGACCGAGAGGAAAGGAGACCCACCTCCAGGGCTCAGGACAGACCTCGGGCAGAGGGTGCCACCCACACTCCACGTCCACCCAGCTGGCCTTGACTGGGGTGTGAACACGATCGGTCCTGACACCCGAACCCAGCCTGATCCTGTTCTGGACAGACCTTCCCCACGTGAACACTCCCTTCACCCCCCAACCCCCAAACACACGGGGAGGGGACATAGGGCTGCTCAGTTGGGATCAGAGGGGTGGCCTGGCCCAAACCAAACCTCCCTGTGTTACCTCTGGATCCCGCCAGGAAAAGGGCCACAGGCGTCCTCTCCTCTGAGTGGAGAAAAATCACCAGCCCAGGGTCCCGTTTGTCAGAACTTGGGTCCTTCAAGGGCCCAGGAGACCCGATCCCACTCTCGGGCAGCGGCTTTATGACCGCCTCCAGCGGGAGTATCCAGTCCCGTCCTCCTCGTCCTCGGGAGCCCACATTGGAGGGGAGCGAGGAGAGAAGCTCCTGAGACAATGGGAGCAGGGGACCGGGAGCGGGGAGTGGGGGGTGCGGGGAGGGGATCAGGAGGCGGGGGTGGATGCAGCCCTGCTCCTGGACATCATGACGGTGGCCGGCATGCAGAAGCTCGTCAAGCGGCGCGGCCCCTTCGAGACGAGCCCCGGCCTCCTGGACTACCTGACCATGGACGTGTACGCCTTCCCCGCCGGCCACGCCAGCCGCGCGGCCATGGTGTCCAAGTTCTTCCTCAGCCACCTGGTGCTGGCCGTGCCCCTGCGCGTGCTGCTGGTGCTCTGGGCCTTCTGCGTGGGGCTGTCCCGCGTGATGATCGGGCGGCACCACATCACGGACGTCGTCTCGGGCTTCGTGCTGGGCTACCTGCAGTTCCGCCTGGTGGAGCTGGTCTGGATGTCCTCCAACACCTGCCAGATGCTCATCTCCGCCTGGTGAGCGGCAAGAGGCAAGATATCTGTCCAGGGTAGGGTTTCTCATGGCATAGTTTAGCCATAGCCTGTTTTAGATTACGGTTCATGCGCTCTACTTTCCCTGAACTCTGAAGCCTCCGTGCCCCTGCGCGTGCTGCTGGTGCTCTGGGCCTTCTGCGTGGGGCTGTCCCGCGTGATGATCGGGCGGCACCACATCACGGACGTCGTCTCGGGCTTCGTGCTGGGCTACCTGCAGTTCCGCCTGGTGGAGCTGGTCTGGATGTCCTCCAACACCTGCCAGATGCTCATCTCCGCCTGGTGAGCGGCCCGGCTCCCGGCTGGCGCTGGCGACCTGCCCTGTGCCAGGCCCCGCGTGGGGACAGCCCTGCTGGGCGTCTGCTCTGCAGGGCACAGGTGAGAGCCAGGATGGCAGGAGCGGGACCGCATCTTGTCTTGTCCTTTCGTCATCCTGACTGTTGAGTTCGTGGCGGTGCCCACCGGGCCACACGGTACAACACCTGGCAAAATACCCCGACCCGCCACCGACAGAGGTGCCATTCACGGTCATGGACAGCTGAGGGCCGCACTCTCCGAAGGGCGCCCCTTGGACGCCAGCCTGGGAAGCAAAAGGGTTTTGTGGTCAAATCCACGTGGGAAATGCTGCATCCTCTGCCCCCTGGTGGACGCTCACGGGGTGTGCGTGTGGTAAAGGCTCTGACAAGTCCTGCAGAAACGATTCCTGTGGACCTTGTACCATGTTTCCTAAGCTGATGTGACCACAGCCCTTTTCTCCTGCGAGAGCTGTGAACCCCAAGAAACCGCTGCTTCCTCGAGCTCGTGTGGGAGACGCTGCCCGGAGCTGAAGGGCTGAGGTGTGAGCGGGCCTCTTCCAGCGCCGCCAGTGCCACCGCCTGTGGGCGCCCACGGCCCGTGGGCATCGGTGCCACTTTGGCCCCCAGGGGCCGGACCCGTGTGACCTAATAGGTCGTTTCCAAGTCAACCGTTGTGTACGTGCGTCTCATGTGACAATACAGATGCTATTCAAGGGGACCCGCTCCCGTGTGGTTTTTCTTTGTGTGGTTTGGGTTTCCAGGCAGGAGAGTCTCTGTTAATATAGGGAGGCAGGATTGTTAACATGGGGGAGGGGGAGGGGGAGTCTCTGTTAACGTGGGGAACTGATTTCTTCCTTTCCAGGTGGCCATGGTGTCAGCTGGCCAGGGAAAGGGGGCCCCTGGGCTCTCCCTGAGGAGCCTGGAGAGGCCATGGCCCACGGGGAGGTCCCCTCAGCATCACAGTGAGAGCCGGGCAGCGTGGCCAGAGCAGGGTCTGGGGGGTGGAGGTGCCCTGAGCACGGGCCTCAGGGAGGGGGACACCCAGCCGGGGCTCCAGCTACGCGTCCTTGGACGGCACCGGCATCCGGGCGGCAGGTGAGCGAAGGCTGCTGATCAGCTGACCTTACATCGGAGACGCGCGTGGGCAACCAGGTGTCAGTCCTTCCCAGCGGAGAGGGCCGCCATGTGAGGCTCCGTTGGCTCTGACGGGAGGAAGAAGCCTTGGACCAAGAGATGCGGGCGCCTCCCGCCGCAGGAAAGGCCGCAGCCAGAGCCCCGCACCCGGCCGCACCCCGCAAGACCAAGACCGGTGTGGACTCCCCGCCCCAGGCGGCAGGTAAGACCATGCATGGGTGCTGCTGGAAGCCCCCGGGTTTGTGGCGATGTGTTCGTGATGCTCAGAACTGGCTCAGGTGCCTGGCACCATCCACCCCGCCCGCCACTGTGGCCACCACCTCCATGCCCTGCCCAGGACCAACGCCACCATCCAACCTGGGGCTCTGGAATCCTCCGGCCCAGCAGCCTCTTGCCACCAATGGGGACACAGGCCCAGAGAGGGTGTCAGGGCCACACCAAGTACCCCAGGAACTGGGGCGCCTTCCCTGCACTGCAAGTCCAGGGATACGGAGGGGGCAGAGCAGCAGGGGGAGAGCGGCCCCTCCGGTCCAAAGCGGTTCTCCAGGTGGGGGGAGGGGGCCGAATGAGGGCCCCCACCTGGATCTCCGCAGTGTGTCTCCATTTGGCCTCCAGGGAAGTTCTCATTTGTCAGAATAACGAGCAGGAAGTTGGGGTTCCGGTGATGGTAGCGGAGTGGGAGAAGCCCGCGCCCAGCCCATCGTGGGTGTGATGGGTAAATTGGGGCTCCCTCCTCAAATTCATAGGTTTCAGCCCTAACCCCCGGACCTCAGAATTGGTCTGTATTTGCAACTGGAGCCCTGTCAAGGAGTGATTAAGTGAAAATGAGGTCATGGGGTGGGCCCTGAGCCCATAGGAAGGGGGTCCCGAGAAGAGAAAACTGGGCGCCGACGCCAGAGGGAGGACCAGGGAGTGAGCTCCTGCCATGGAAGCCACCAGGCTGTGCCTTCGGTTCTGTGGCCCTGGGAACACAGTGGGGGTGTCGGGCGGCTGGCTGTCACCTTCACTGCAGGAGGAGCATGGCTCAGGGGCGACCGGGACGCACCGGGTGAGTGGGGCACGCCTGGGGCACCGGCTGCTGCCCGGCCAGTGGCTTCTGGGTAGTGTGGGGAGAGCACTGTGCAAGGAGCCCCTGGGGCGCTGGTGTCTGCACGGACCCCATCCTGGGGGCCTGACCCCTGGCCAGGGGAAGCCACTGCCCAGCCCAGCAATTGGTCTGGGACAAAGTCCTCAAGCCCCCAGCCCGTTCCCTCCTGGGGAAAAGTCTGCGGGGGCAGGAGAGGGACAGCAGGAGCTAAAACCTGCAGGGACTCCGGGATCGGCGCCATCTGGCTCCTGGGGCAGGAGTGGGGGGGTGATGGGGGAGCAACATCTGGCATGTGCTTTGGCCAGCGTTTCTGTAACCCACGTGGGAGCGCACGCGGCTCAGCTCTGTGCCGCGGGGCAAGGCGGGTGCCCTGGCTGCGCTCCACCTGTCCTTCCCGTGCAAGAGGGGCCTCCAGACAGGGGGCTGTGGTGGGGATGCGGTGCCTGGTGCGAGGTGGAGCTGGTGCACACACACACACACCCAGCCTCGTCGAGGGCCGGCCTCGGGCTCCCCACCGGGGAGCTGGGCTTCCTCCAGCTCTCAGACTCTGTAGCATGCGCACACGCAGACACTCCTGCGTGTAACACTTCATGTGCTCGGTGCAAACACACGTAAATGCACACCTGTTCACACCCACGCAGGTGCCATTATACATACACCTAAAACGGGACCAAACAGGCGGCTCACACCCACCCTAAAACCGCCACCTGCATCTGGTGCACCCACCTCCCACGTGTATACGTGCACATGTTCATGCACACATACATTTGTGTACTCTAACACACTTGCACATGCACACACCTTTCCATGCATCAGGCCCGCCAGAGTTAGCAAGTAAACATGCAGGACGCAATACTGGGGACATACTTATCCTGAAAAACTATTCATTTATCTGAAACTCAAATGCATGTGTGTTCTGGATTTTACCTGACGGCCCTAATACGTACACGTGTACATGTGTTCACACACACACACACACACACACACACACACACACACACACTCACACACACTCGTGAAGCCATCAGGTTCCTGGCCCAGCCCGGACATGCCGTCTCCCTGGGAGAATTCACGAGACTGTCCCTCCGTCTGGTCATTGGCCCGCAGCCTGCATTGCGGCCTCAGCTAGTGGCCTGGCTGGTGGGGAAGGGATGGCGTCCAGCCAGGCCCGGAGCTGGGGGCTCTGACTGGGGCCGTGCTGGGGCCCCGAGAGAGCTCCTCCCACCAGCAGCCCAGCTGTGAGGTCTGGCAGCAGCGAGAGCCTTGAACCCCGCCCGAGAGCCGAAGCCTGGGGCCGGCCTCAGGAGGGATGTCCAGCTGGGGTCAGGGATGCGATCTGAGGCCGGAGGCCCAGCTTGGCCTCTTCTCCATCCGGTGCCGCTCTGCTGGTGGAGACACCTGGGGCGAGGCTGTCCCCAGATCCTGATTGCTCAGCCTGCAGCCTCTGCAGAGGGCCAGCGGCCAGCGGGGCCCTAGGGGGACCTTAGCTCAGAGGCGGTGGTGGGAGAGACACGGACTGGCCCTCCCCATGTGGCCTGGCTGCTTCCCGCCCCCTTAGAAGTGAGGAATTCTCGTCCTCAGCGGGGAGGGGGCCGGAGGGGGCCGCACATGTGTGATGACTCTCCTGAGAGCCTCCCAAAGAACAGGGTGAATTTTTTAAAGAAAGTATTTCTTTCCCTGATTACCATGGTTTTGGGTTACATAACAATGTGTTTTCTCTAATAAGAACTGAGTGCACACAGGAAAAGCAAAAATATTGTGGTTATTCCTTCAGATGCTTGTCTATGCAGTCACAAAAATATAGGTGTATTTTGACCAAAAAGAGGGGTTACACGCTATAGTGTTGTGGCCTGCGGTTTTCATTCGCGGAAGCGACACGACCGTCTTTCCGCACCAGCGTCCGTGCGTCCGCATCCCGGCTGCCGCCGCCGCACGGCGATCCCACGTGTGGCAGGACCACGTTCCTTCTTTTAAACAATTGAGTCGCTGCTAGTTTGTTCTAAATTGCGGTGGCGGTCACACAACAGACGTAACCACGTAAAGCAAGTTGAGCATTTAGTACATCCACCGGTTTCTAAGTCCTCATATGACAAAGAGCGAGGCCCATCCGGATCCTGCTCCCGGGCCTCGCGGGCCTGTGCTGCCAAGGAGGGTGGAGGACCACTGGTCACACCCACAGAAGCCCCGCCGGCCCCGGCCTTGGAACCGCCCTGCGCCGGGGCGGTCTGTGGAGAACGGACGTGTCTGTGCTCTCAGGCCTCCCTGTCCGCGAGCACGAGTCGTCCGTCCTTTCCGTCGTCTTTAGCGCTTTCATGAAATGCTATGATTCTCTGCAATTCTTACCGTTTCCTTAGCCTTACTCTTAGATCCTTAAAACGTTCACGCTCTTGGGAAGGTGCCTCCCTCCCCCCAACACACACACACTTTTTCTTTTTTTTAAATTCTCACCCGAGGAGTGAGGCTATTTTTTTCCCCATTGATTTTTAGAGAGCGTGGAAGAGGAGAGACAGAGGGACAGAGAGAAACAGCATGTGAGAGAGACACATCGATTGGTTGCCTCCCACACGAGCCCTGACTGACCAGGGCCAGGGATGGAAACTGCACCCCAGGCATGTGCCCTTGACCAGGAATTGAACCCTTCAATGTGCTGGGGGCCAGGGGGCAGGGGGGCTCCAACCACTGATCCACACTGGCCAGGGCAACACACACACACTTATTTAAGGTACATTTTCAAATTGTTCCTGGTGTATAAAAATGCAATTGCCTTTTGTATGTTATTTTCTATGTGGGCATCTTGCTAAACTCTCCTTTTTGGTTTTCAATACAGCTGATCATACCTGAAAGAACGTGTGTCCTTTTCTCTTCTCCTGCCCTGTGTTTTTAATTTCTTTTGTTTCTTCTCATCTCATTGCTCCAGGAGGACCGGCAGCCCTCACGGCTGAGCAGACGAGGCCCAGGGAACACGGCGCTTCCCCGTTCTCCGCTCGGGGGGCGCGAGGAAGGCGGACGCTGTCGGGAAGTTTGTACGTGAGTTTACGTGAAACTTTTAAAAAGCCTTCTTCAGCGTCGACCTATCAAAACGCCGTTGTCGCTGTCCCTCCTTTAACCGTGACGGTGGGAAATGGCGCCGATTGTTCTCATGGGAAACCATCCCCGCGGTATCTTGGGATAGTGCCCATTCCATCCAGCGTGGCACTCTCCTTTGGTCGTGGTGAATCCTTGCCTGAGGATACTAGTACTTTTCCCATTGACTTTTTAGTGGGTAGAAGGGAGGGAGGGGAGAGACACAGAGAGAAACAGTAATGAGGGAGAGACGTGGACCGGTTGCCTCCCGCACATGCCACAGCTGGGACCCAAACCTGCAAGCCAGGTATGTGCCCTGGACCAGGCCCTGGGCCAGGAATGGAACCCATGACCCTGCGGTCTGCAGGGCCTGGGAAAGGCTCTGTGCGAAGGTCAGAGGGGCCTGGGTGGGTCTGCAGGGCCGGGGCCTGCAT